ATCATCACATATCCGACCTTACTTGAATTTTGTATGCGCTTGAACTGCCTATGACAGCACTCAAACTAATTTGGACCAATCATAATTCACTAAATGCTGAGTTTCCACCAATAGATCTTATTAGGGGTAGGTAAGTCATCTTAGCCAGCCATTCCGACGTATCAGGTCGGACGGACACGAGAAATATGTGTATGCCAACTCAAAAATTAACTAACCTACATATCACTTACATATTTGCAATACATCCGACAGGATGGGACTAGAAGAGCTCAAGCCAGGAAACACAAGACGCGCTAAGGCAACCGCCATCGCGGCGTTCAAGGCTTTTGTTAAGAGTGAGTCTGTAGATTTTGAATATGTAAGGAGATGCATTGAGAAGGATGATAGTGGAAAGTGCATTGTGTCTATCTTAGATATGTTTGGTATGTATCTGGCCTTTAACGAAGGCAAGAAGGGCAAACAACTTGCCCGCAATACTGCTATGCAGTACTATAGGCAGACTAAAATGTGGTTTTTCGAGCTCTTCCCCACGCAACGACACGTTGTCGAGGCAAAGTTGCTAAGCATGGGGAAGACGCTAGAGAATTTTTGCATGAAAAGAGACGGAAAGGTCGTGAGCAAGGCACCACCATGCTGTAAGGCAGACTTACGTAAGATGATGCTTTATTTGTTTAAGAATGCGTCTATGTCAAGCGACTATCAAGACGCAGCGCTACTATGCATGCTGTGGTACCTGTTTGGACGCGCGTCCGACTTGTCGCTCGTGCAGAAGCGGAATCTCACCATCGATGCCGCCGACATCCTGTTCGTGCGGTTCATCCGGCTCAAGACGTCCGAGGAGCAAGGATTGTCGCTTTTCCCCGATCTGGACTTCGTCACCTGCCCGGTATACGCAATCGCTCTGGCACTCATGACGCAGGCCGCTCCATGCGTCGATCTGCTGGACAACTTGCCGCCACTGCATGTCCAAGCTACCGTCTCCCTGTCCCCAGCCACGCCTCTTCTGGAGGTGCTAGACCACCCTGCTGAGTACGCTGCTCTTGGCGCTGCTGCTGCCGTCTCGACGGGTTCTACTACCAGTGAGAAGACACCAACCATCTACTCTCACGTCAACAGAGTGCTTGATCGGATCGCTGCCGCTGCTGGTGTCAAGCTTGCTCTCTCTTCTCACTCCTTTCGCCGGGGTGGAGCACAGCACGTCAATGGATGCGAAGGTCTCACGCATCGCTGGATCTTTGACCGTGGTGCCTGGAACATGAGCACAACAAACAAGGGCTTCAATTACATCTTCAACACAAGTCGCGAAGATCACAAGGTTAGCAAGGCTCTCAGTGGATATGACACGGACGCGAAGGTACCTTTGAAGGACTTAAAGTCCTTCGACGCGCAGACGCAGGAGAAGATCGCAACTGTCCAGCATTATCTGTTCGCAGCGTGCTTCAAGCTTGACCAAGCCAAGTACAACGTGAGCAAGCGTGTCCTTGATGTACTAACCGCTTACCTTCTTCTTCATTATCCGCACTTGAAGGAACTTCATCCCGAGGGGCCAGCGGTGAAGCGCTTGGAGGCTTGTGTGCAGCTGGCAGGGTCGTCCCTTGCGGACTTGCTTGCTTGGGCGACGCATCTAGCTTCAGCAGCCTGCAATACGAAGACACAGAGCTCGGAAGAGACTGAAATCGTACCATGCAAGCGACCGAACGAAGAGAACACGATCATCGAGCATCAACGCAGTGTGATTGATCAATTAGTCTTGCTTGTTAAGCGCCAGAATGAACGCATGGATATCCTAGAAGCTAAAGTGGAAGGCAACACACAGCAACACAAAATCGACAAGCGTCAGCGCGAGAAAGAACAAGAACAAGAACAAGACATGGCACACAAGCGCCGACGGACTTCCGTCACTCACCTTCACACGACGTGGTACGCGTGGTACGCTCAGGAGCCACGATGGCTTTCTGACGCGCCCAAGCAGCAGCGGTCAAATGCGAAGCAGCTGGTGGGGTACATGAAGCTCTTCATCGCTGAAGGCTTTGTGCTTGACCCAAGGGCTGAAGACTACCGCGACCGAGTACTTGCGCTTGGAAAGCAGGCGGAGAAGGAGGTGCTTAACTTCCTCCGCGAGCGTGACATCTCGTCGCGCGGATCCACCGCTGTCCGCAAGCACCTACGCAATCTTCACGTCGCCGGTGCGCTCAACGACCGGATTTCGCGCCACCGTAGGCTAATTCATGCTGGCGCTGTCCAAGACCCGGATCGCCATGACCTGCTAGAGCCCGTGGCTACAACCCTGTAGGACAGTAGCGCGCGAAAGTAGCCTGCGAATCGCAAACACACCAAATGCATAAACGATTACCAAACTAGTGAGCCCACATAATCTCCTTCGACATACAAAACGAGCAAAACCTGGGGTCGAACAGCTCCAGCAGTGGACAGGAACCTGGCAAATACAGGTACTGTGACATCAACAGCCCTCACACCCCGAAACAAAAC